CCCCAGCACGACCACACCGCCTTGGTTGAGTGGTTGCCTGTCGTCGTGGAATGTTTCGTGGGGTGTCTCGTGGAATGTTTCGCGGGGTGTCTCCTGGAATGTTTCGTGAGGTGTCTCGCGGAATGTTTCGTGAGGTGTCTCGTGGGATGTTTCGTGAGGTGTCTCGTGGGATGTTTCGTGAGGTGTTGCCCCGTTGGGTATCGTGAAAACGTGCCCATGCTCCACATGTCTATATCCCTTTCCGGGTTCGTGGGTCCATCATGTTGTGGATGTCCCTAGCAAAACGCTTGTTTTTTCAGTTTTTCCCGGAAAGGGCGTAGGCCCAGGGTTCTCTTTTAGTATGTAAACATGTCCCCGGTGCCCAACTTGAAGGGGGCCGGCGGATTCTTTCCCTGATAAATATCGAGGTCGAAGGAGGCCGGCGGATTAAAATTTGAGGATGTCTCAGGCGAAACGCTTGTTTTTGAAATCCCGATCGATAAATCACAGGGTGCGGGACACCTCAGCACGACCACACCCCCAGCATGACCACACCCCAGCACGACCACGCCCAGCACGACCACGCCCCAGCACGACCACACCCCAGCACGACCACACCCCAGCACGACCACACCCCAGCACGACCACACCCCAGCACGACCACACCCCAGCACCAGCACGACCACACCCCAGCACGACCCGATCGATAAATCACAGGGTGCGGACCACCCCAGCACGACCACACCCCAGCACGACCCCACCCCAGCACGACCCCACCCCAGCACGACCACGCCCCAGCACGACCACACCCCAGCACGACCACACCCCAGCACGACCACACCCCAGCACGACCCCACCCCAGCACGACCCCACCCTAGCACGACCACACCCCAGCACGACCACACCCCAGAACGACCACACCCCAGCACGACCCCACCCCAGCACGACCCCACCCCAGCACGACCACACCCCAGCACGACCACACCCCAGCAGGACCCCACCCCAGCACGACCCCACAGCACGGCCCCACCCCAGCAAGACCACACCCCAGCACGACCACACCCAGCACGACCTCACCACAGCACGACCACACCCCAGCACGACCACGCCCCAGCACGACCACGCCCCAGCACGACCACCCCCAGCACGACCACCCCCAGCACGACCACCCCCCCAGCACGACCACCCCCCAGCACGACCACCCCCCAGCACGACCACACCCCAGCACGACCACTCCCCAGCACGACCACACCGCCTTGGTTGAGTGGTTGCCTGTCGTCGTGGAATGTTTCGTGGGGTGTCTCGTGGAATGTTTCGCGGGGTGTCTCGTGGAATGTTTCGTGAGGTGTCTCGTGGAATGTTTCGTGAGGTGTCTCGTGGGATGTTTCGTGAAGTGTCTCGTGGGATGTTTCGTGAGGTGTTGCCCAATTGGGTATCGTGAAAACGTGTCCATGCTCCACATGTCTATATCCCTTTCCGGGTTCGTGGGTCCATCATGTTGTTTGAGGATGTCTCGAGCGAAACGCTGGTTTTGCAGAGTTGGGGATGTCTCGAGCGAAACGCTTGTTTTCAGAATTTGTCGAGGATGTCTCGAGCGAGACGCTGGTTTTGCAGAACCGACCGCGACGCGGAAAAGCGCCCCGCGCGCAGGAATTCCGATGATGTTTCGCGCGTGCCGCGTCCCGCGCGCAGGAACTTCGAGGATGTCTCGACTAATTCGTTTGTTTTGCCAGGATTTCCTTGAATTTTGGCAGGATGTCTCGAGCGAAATGCTTGTCTTTCATAATTTGTTGAAGACGTTTCTAACGAAACGCTGGTTTTGCAAAATTGGGGGGTGTCTCGAGCGGGGGCCTCGTGGGGGGCCTCGTGGGGGTCCAGAATTCAGAGGATGTCTCCGGCGAAATGCTTGTTTTCACGTCCCGCTTGCAAGAATTCCGAGGATGTCTCGCGCGTGCCGCGTCCCGCGCGCAGGAATTCTGAGGATGCTGGCAGGATGTCTCGAGCGAAGCGCTTGTCCCCAGCACGTTCCGTAGCGCGTCCCCTTGGCACGTCCCGCGGTGCGTCCCGATGGCACGTCCTTTGCCACGTCGCCTGGCGGATCCCTTGAGACGTTCCGCGTCGCGTCCTCCTGGCATGTCCCCTTGTCAATTAGTTCTGGGGCAGCTACTATGTGTTCAGGCAGCTCGAGCTTAAGATCCAGATCAGTTCGGTCAGGACTCGGATGCAAAGAAGGACTCGATCCACGAGGCTATAGAGCACAATCGCGGCATGGCACATCGCAATTCAGCACGGCGCAGCACAGCACAGATTTCGGCACGGTACATCAAGATCGATACACTCAACATTGACACTTGGCATGTTCCTTGGCACGTTCCGTGGGGCGTCCCTTGGCGAGTCCCCCTGGCACGTCGCGTGGCGCGTCCCCTGGCGCATCCCGTGGCACATCCATTGGCACGTTCCGTAGCGCGTCCCCTTGGCACGGCCCGCGGTGCGACCCCATGGCACGTCCCCTGGCACGCCGCCTGGCGCCATCCCTTGGGACGTTTCGCGGCGCGTCCTCCTGGCATGTTCCCCTGTCCATCAGCTCTGGGGCAGCTACTATGTGTTCAGGCAGCTCAAGCTTAAGATCCAGATCAGTTCGGTCAGGGCTCGGATGCAAAGGAAGATTCGATCCATGACGCTATAGAGCACAATTGCGCCATGGCACATCGCCATTCGGTGCAGCACAGCACAGCCCTCGGCAGGGTACATCAAGATCGATCCACTCAGCGTTGCAATTGCCCGTCAACCAATCAGGTGTCTTTGAAAACGCTGCCATGTGTTACAGTTCTACATTCCTTTCCGGGTTCGTGGGTCGATCATGTTAGTAGGTTTACCCCCGGATCTGACGGGAAGAGGGCAGGCGGATTTCTTTTGCGATAAATAACGAGTGGGAAGAGGGCCGGCGAATTAAAAGTTAAGGATGTCCCTAGCGAAACGCTTGATATTCAGAATTTGTTGAGGATTTCTCGAGCGAAACGCTTGTTTTGTGTTATAGATTGTCCTCTCCTGGGGACCAGAATTTAGAGGATCTCTCAAGTGAAATGCTTGGTTTCACGTGCCCAGGTCTTGAGGATGTCTCGAGCGAGACGCTTGGTTTCACGCCTCCAGGTTGCCCAGGCAGAGGTCAAGCGCCAGGATTTGTTGAGGATGTCTCGAGCGAGACGCTTAGTTTCACGCGTCCTCGTCGCCCAGGCGGATGTCTAGAATGAGGAGGTGTTGAGGAAATCTCGATCGAGATGCTTGTTTGCACGTGTCCAGGTTGCCCAGGCGGATGCCTAGCATGAGGATGTGTTGAGAATGTCTCGAGAGATACGCTTGTTTTCACGTGTCCAGGTCGCCTAGGCGGATGTCTAACATGAAGATGTGTTGAGGATGTCTCGAGCGAGACGTTTGCTTTCACGTGTACAGGTCGCCCAGGCGGATGTCTAGAATGAGGAGGTGTTGAAAACGTCTCGAGCGAAACGCTTGTTTTCACGTGCCCAGGTCACCCAGGCGGACGTCTCACATGATGATGTGTTGAGGATGTCTCGAGCGAACTGCTTGTTTTCACGTGTCCAGTTCGCCCAGGTGGATGTCTAGCATGAGAATGTGTTGAGGATGTGTTGAGCGAAACGTTTGTTTTCACGTGTCCAGGTCGCTCAGGCGGATGTCTAGAATGAGGATTTTGACAGGATGTCTCGAGCGAAACGCTTGTCCCCAGCACGTTCCGTAGCGCGTCCCCTTGGCACGTCCCGCGGTGCGTCCCCATGGCACGTCCCCTGGCATGTCGCCTGGCGCGTCCCTTGAGACGTTCCGCGGCGCGTCCTCCTGGCATGTCCCCCTGTCAATTAGCTCTGCGGCAGCTACTATGTGTTCAGGCAGCTCGAGCTTAAGATCCAGATCAGTTCGGTCCGGACTCGGATGCAAAGGAGGACTCGATCCACGACGCTATAGAGCACAACCGTGGCACGGCACATCGCAATTCAGCACGGTGCAGCACAGCATAGGCCTCGGCACGGTACATCAAGATCGATACAATCAGCATTGCAACTTGGCACGTTCCTTGGCACGTTCCGTGGGGCGTCCTTTGGCGAGTCCCCCTGGCACGTCGCGTGGCGCGTCCCCTGGCACATTCCGTGGCACATCCATTGGCACGTTCCGTAGCGCGTCCCCTTGGCACGTCCTACGGTGCGACCCCATGGCACGTCCCCTGGCACGTCGCCTGGCGCGTCCCTTGGGACGTTTCGCGGCGCGTCCTCATGGCATGTCCCCCTGTCAATTAGCTCTGCGGCAGCTACTATGTGTTCAGGCAGCTCGAGCTTAAGATCCAGATCAGTTCGGTCAGGACTCGGATGCAAAGGAAGACTCGATCCATGACGCTATAGAGCACAACCGCGGCACGGCACATCGCAATTCAGCACGGTGCAGCACAGCATAGCCCTCGGCACGGTACATCAAGATCGATACAATCAGCATTGCACTTGCCCGTCACCCAATCAAGTGTCTTTGAAAACGCTGCCATGCGTGACATTTCTATATTCCTTTCCGGGTTCGTGGGTCGATCATGTTTTTTAGTGTAAGAGTTTCACGGATTCCGGTGGCCAACGTACCAGACACGGTGTTTTGGCAGGGTTCAGGATTATGTGGGTGCAACAAGTACGTTGATTCCAGGTGTTGAAATCTCAGGAACGGCGTTCTGGTATGATTCACGATCGTCAAGACGCAACAGTCGGGTTCATCCTTGGCGTTAAAATCCCGAGAACAATATTTCGGCAGACTTCAAGGCCTTCAACTGTTGTTTTCCAGCGAGACAGCTCCCTCAGTGGAAATGAACCTTTGTATGGGGCCTATGAAGAGGGAGCTTGGACGGAGGGCTTATTCCAGCATCGTTGATGACTCTTGGCTTTGCACTGGTCCTCCTCATCCTCCTCCTCCAACTCCTCCTGCCGCGCGCTTGCCCCCCTCACCCTCTGAGGCGGCGTGCGCGAAGACGTCGGGTCCTTCCGGCAATACGCCACCGTGTCCCGCTGCCTGGGCTGTTCCCGCGCTGCCATGGGAATCATACCAGCGGCGCCAAAAAAATCGAAGCTGTGGACAGAGAGAGAGAGACAGAAAGAGAAACAGAGTTATGTTCTGTTTGTGCCAGAAAAAGGAGAGACAGAGAGAAAGAGAGAGAGAGAGAGAGACTGAGAGAGAGAGAGAGAGTAAGAGTAAGGTGTAGAGATGAAACATATTCAGAGAAAGAGAGAGAGAGAGAGAGAGAGGAAAAACAGGGAGACCGAGAAAGAGAGAGAGAGAGAGAGATATAGACACACATACACACACACCAACAAGCAAACAAACAAACAAACAAACGAACGAACAAACAAACAAACAAACAAGCGCACAAACAAACACGCGCGAACAACACATTCACACATACACACATTCACACGTAGCCTCGCACTCATCCACACACTCAATTCTGGCGGTCTCGGCCACGCGCGCAACGTCGAGACGGTGAAAGGTCCGATCCGGAGCGCATAATTACGGCGGGGCCGTCAGGGGAATCTTCGTGTGGCATGCTGCGTGCAGGGTTACTTCGCTGCCTTCTCGCGGGCAAACCTAGTGGGGTCTTGCCTTCTCGCGGGCGCACCCAAAAGTCCCTGCCTTCTCGCGAGAAGCTGTATCACTTTGGGGTCGCTGCCTTCTCGCGGGCTTTACCTCGTGCGACGGCGTGGAGGTCCCCTGCCTTCTCGCGCGCGGCAAACCCAGGCCTGTCGAGCTGCTACGCTCTCTGGCCCTTTTCGCCAGAGGATCGGGCGTCCCGGGGCGCAGGCTCCTCGTTGGATGTCCAGTGGCGCTGAGTGCATTTCTGATGCCGCTGAGCGCCATTCTCGCACCCCGCCGTGAGGGCCACTCTCTCGCTGGTCCTTGCCGCCTGTGGTGAAACGTGGAGTGCGTCGTTGCTGCCGCCGCGGGGGCCGTGCTCTCTCTGGCCCTCGCCGCCTGCCATTCCCAGTCTGCGCCGGCCAGTCTGAGCGCGACTGTGCACTCGGGTGGCATTCGCTTGCCCAGTATTGCACTCTATGCTCCTTCCTTTCTGCGTTCTGGTGCCCAGGCGCACCAAGATTCGCAGTCTGAGCGCGACTTTGCGCTCGTGGGCGTCCGCGTGCCCAGAATTGCATGTTGTGCTCCTTTCGGCGTCTTGGTGCCCAGGCGCACCCAGATTTGCAGTCTGTGCGCGACTTCGCGCTCCTGGGCGTCCGCGCGCCCAGAATTGCATTCTGAGCTCCTTTCTGCGTTCTGGTGGCCAGGCGCACCAAGATTCGCAGTCTGAGAGCTCCTGGGCGTCCGCGCGCCCAGAATTGCTTTCTGAGCTCCTTTCTGCGTTCTGGTGGCCCAGGCGCACCCGGGCTCGCAATCTGAGCGTGACTCAGCGCTCTTGGGCGTCCGCGCGCCCAGAATTGCATTCTGAGCTCCTTTCTGCGTTCTGGTGACCAGGCGCACCAAGATTCGCAGTCTGAGAGCTCCTGGGCATCCGCGCGCCCAGAATTGCATTCTGAGTTCCTTTCTGCGTTCTGGTGCCCAGGCGCACCCGGGCTCGCAATCTGAGCGTTACTTAGCGCTCCTGGGGGTCCGCGCGCCCAAAAATTGCATCCTGAGCGCCTTTCTGGGTTTTGATTCCAGGCGCACCCAGGTTCGCAATCTGAGCGCTTGTGGCGTCCGCGCGCCCTGAATTGCACTCTGTGTCCCTTCTGCGTTCTGGTGCCCAGGCGCACCCAGATTTGCAATCTCAGCGCAGCAAGGCGCTCCTCAGCATTCGCAAGGCAAGGCAAGGCAGGTTCTCCACCGGGGCAGCATCGCACGCAGCGCTCGACAGGCGCGCTTATGACGCCCTCCGGAGGCCTGGGTGGTGCACTCAGGCTGAGGGGGATAAGCATCGCATCAGCGCTGGCTACGTTTTGCCCCGCAGTGCAGACCGCGCATTAGCAGGTTGTTGTCTCTTGTCTCGTGCGTTCTGCCGCACTGGCTCAGACGACCACGCCTCAATCAAGCTGCCCTCTCACAGCTCAGACCTTGCACAGCCTCTCACAGGTTGCTGTCGCGTCTTTTGGCGGCGACAGCAAGTGGCGTCAGAACTGATTTTGCGAAGGGAAATCTTGGTTGAAGGCATCTTTGGAGGAGCTGCCTGCCTGCATTTTTGAGGAATCGGAAGTACGGTTGCTCTCGCCATGCCTGAGGCAACTCTCCCTCTCTGCTTCGTCGGAAGAGAGGCCAGGTATCCACCTGTGGCGGGAGATCCTTCAGCTGTCCACCGTAACCGTGATGGCTCAGACAAGGTGTCTGAATTGCAGATTTGTGTCTTAGCACGCAGAGCAATCTGATTCTACGCGTCGTCCGAGGGAAGATGTCTTTCTCTCCGAGTGACGTCACGGCGATGATCGCCACCGCCGCCAGTGGAGCCTTCAACGGCGCAGGTGCCAATCAGGTGCGTGAGTGGGTGGACTTCGTCATCAATGTCGACGTCGACCCCGCCAAGAAGCACGATCTCTTCCACTACGTGTCTGTCGCGCGGCTGCTGGCCGAGACGGGAGGCAGCATCGCACCAGCCGGCTTCGAAGACCCTCACATGCGGGACATGATCAAGGCGAGCATTCCCGTTCACGCCACCCCGTATGCCACCGAACAGGACGACCCGTGGAAGAGCTGGAAAGTCTCGCCGGCACAGATTGTCTTGGCACTCAAGGCGCAGGGGGCGCGCGCGAAGAAAGCCTCGCCAGGACCATCGGTGCCACCAGAGGTGGCCCACAACAACAAAGAGCTTTCCGGCATGGCTGAAGCAGTGAAGCAATTTGCGGAACTTCAGTCGCAGGCGCTGCAGAAAGGGAAGCCGAAAGGACTCAGTTTCAAGTTGCAGGACCGGAAACTCGAGCTGGGCATGCAGCATTTCGCCAAGGATGCACTCCCGTCTGAGGAAGTCCTCGCGAAGTTCGAGGCGGCGGGGAAGATCGCGCACGACAAAGGCAGGCCTTGGGTCGGGTCCGCTGAGGGCGAGGATCTGCGCGATCACCACCGCCCAACTTGGAGCCGGACTCCTATGATCGACGCTGTCGTGGGGGGCGGCTCTTACGAGGAGCGGGTGAAGCAGAGCGCTGCCGCCAAGCGGAACATGGCGTGGATGGACAAAGTCGACTACGCTGGCTTTGCCACGTTCATGGGCCACCTGCACGAGTGGGGATTCAAGGTAATCCTCACCAAGGCATGCAGCATGGCTGACTTCCTTGCGCACGCCCACAACATCGCGCGCATCGCCGAGGAGCACGGTGGAGTCAGGACAGCTTATCAAAACGATGTTCTCCAGAGGAGGGCCATGGCCAGGGCCCTGGAGGAAGACGTCGTGGATTTGGCACCTTACTTCGCCAAGATCGATCGTGAAAACCTGGCTGGCGCCAAAGACAAAGTAAACAAAAGCTTCACGGAGGCTGGCCGGGCTGTGACAGCTAAGGGGCAGCAGTCGAAGGGTCAGCCCAAAGGCTGCGCCAAGGGCGTTGCCGACAAGGGCGACAAGGGGGGCAAGAAGAGCTCCGACGGCACAGAGGCTGACAACCGGCCTGTCCGGTCGCCGGCCAAGCGTCCCAAGGGCACGGCGGGCACCGATTATCAGCACAGGTCTCGCAGCCCCCGCTCTGGCAATCAGCAGTACAACAGTTGGGGAAACAAGTGGTGAGTGGGCCAAGTACCACTAGTCGAGGGCGCCTGGAGTGATATCTCGGAGGAAGCATCAGACGACACGGAGGCGTCACCGCTTCCAGGCACCAGTTCAAGGCCAAGTGAATCAGCAAATCCTCCACTCGAAGCTGTCCAGGCAGCTTTCTCTGCATTTAGCGCCCGCGAGGATTTGCATAGCCTGGGTCCGAGCGACCACTTGCGCTGGGCCAGCGGCTTGCCAGCAGCCGGCGATAGCCCGCGCGTGCCAACATTTTTAAACTGCCATTTTGCGAGATTGGTTTCAATGTCGGTTGCCGAGCTGCAAACCGCTCGCCAGTCTGCTCTTGCTTTTTGGAAGCATCGGAAGCTAGTGACGGACCCACAGTGGCAGACTATCTTTAGAAGTTTGCCAGCTCACTGTCAGTCAGTGCTGGGTCCGGAGAAGAACCTTCTGCTGCTGAAAGAGATGCTCGAGGCTATAGCATGGCCAGATAATACCTTGTTTCATAACCTCTGCCATGGCTTCCCTTTGGTGGGGCGCCTGCCTGCTATTGGCATCCGCGCGCCCGCTGCCAAGTCTCCGGAACCAGCCGAGACTTTGCGGTCGCTTTTAGCACATCCGCGCGAGCGGAATGAGGCGACTCTCGGTAGAATCGCCGCGGAAAAGGGCAGCGATACGAGGGTTAGGACTCAATTGTTATCGGCCTGCTCAAAAGAGGTCGAATATGGCAAGGCCCGCTTCCGTAACCTAGACGTAAATTCTTGTGTTTTAACAGCTCGCTTCCATATCGTGCAGGGGGAAAGAGACGGAATGCCAAAAATTCGCTGCATAAGCGATTTCACTGCGTCTGCGGTGAATGGTGCGGTTGTACATAGTGAAAAAACATGTCCAGACACACTGGACACTTTGGTGGCATTAGTGCGCCACACAGCAGCAGGCAAGCAACACATTGCCATGAGGTGGAGGAAAGATGACTTCCGGCATGCTTTTAAGACACTGCCGATTTGCAGCGGCCACTTGCCGCTAGCAGTGACAGCTTGGCCAGAAGCAGTGGCAGACGGTAAGGCGTTACAATTGCTGTGCCTACCATTTGGCTCTTCCGCCTCAGTGTCCGGTTGGGATCGTTTCGGCCTCGCCATTCAAAGCATTTTGGCAGCTCTGTTTCACTTGTTATATTTGCGTTTTGTCGACGATATGTTCGTCTGCGATTCGGCCCTGGAGGGGCGCGATATTGGCAGTGACTGCTTAATCGGCCCCGCCGGCTCTGCGCGCCTGGCAAGAGCAGTCGCGTCAGAACTGCTGCGCTGGGATCTCGACGCCGGCAAAGCCGCCACGGAGGCTACTAAGACCGTAATCCTCGGAGTCTGCGTAGAATTTGACGACCACAACCAGCTGATCCAGTTTTCTCTCGAAGCAGAGAGATTGGAAAAATGGGCCGCAG